TAGTCTGAGGGAGGTCAGTATTGATCTTAGGGGGCTCTTGGGGCTAAGGCTTTACCCATCCGCCTCAGAAGAAAGGCTGATGTTATAATAGGTGCTGACTCTCAAAGTTGTTTTAACATTCCTGTCACACCGGACAGTAATTGTGAAACCAGGAAAATGACCTTTGCATGGGGCAGCACTAGGTCTCCTCCTCGGGAAGGGGTCCTGCAACCGTCTCCTGTCACATACCTACCTGCAAATCCCCGGATCCCCCACTAGCCCCCCAAACCCTGGGATGCATCTCTCCTTCATTCTCCTCCACCTGACTCTCAGCCCAAGGCCGCCCTCCATCCCATCCCCTCCCCACAGCGGGCAAAACCATAAATACGCAAGGGTCCAGAGGCTTACAGGAAAATGCTCTCCACAGCCCACTCTAATAACCCTTACTCTGAAGAAGTGGAGGCAGGACAATTAGGGGTTCAAGACCAGACGGAGCCTCACAGGAACAAAACCAGGAAATGGTTGGTACAAAACTTGTTTAGCTTTCGTGAAGCCTGGGCCTCCACCCCTCAGCACCTCACTAACGGGGCATCCTGACACACACGGGCTTATCCCTGCACCGAGAGGCAGAGGCTGGACGATCAGGAGGAGTTCAGTTATCCTTGACTACATTGAGTTTTAGGACAGCTGGGTGCAGTGGTGCATGCTTTTAATCCCGGTAGTCTGGAGGCAGAGGCAGGAGGATCTCCGTGTGTTAGGCCAGCCTGGTGGGTGTACTTATCAAAATTCCAGGACCTGTCTCAAAATAGAAAGACCTGCCTCAGAAATAAATAAATAAATAAATAAATAAATAAACAAAAAGAGTTTGAGGACAGCCTAGGCCTGGCTCAAAAAAAAAAAAAAAAAGTGTTGGAGAGATGCCTCAGTGGTTAAGAGCAGAGGACCCAAGTTCAGATCCTGGTGTCTCTGTCCAATCCAGTGGCTCTTAACAGCCTGTAACACCATTTCTGGGTGGGGAGGGTTTGATGCCTTCTCTGAGCACCAGGCAAACACATGGTCAGTATAGGTACATATACGCAAAGACTCGGTACCTCTAAAAATAAAAACATACTAAAAACCACTTAAAAATAAATCTTTAAAAACAGCCCAAATCAGAGTAGCCCCCACAGGGTGCCACCCATACTCCCAGATGGCATTCTCACAGTGCCCAAGAGCTCCCTGGGACCGTCTTCCACACTGGGACCTCAGTCGCCACTTTCCTGTTCTGTCGCTGGCCTGTGTATCTGATTACTGGGTCTGGACCCCCTTGGGAGCCTGGCATCAGCTGCCCTCTTTTGCACCTTTGAGAAGTCAGCAGGCCACAGTGCTGGGTGCAGGAGGAGAGCCACGTGGTGAGAGCACAAGACAGAGAAAGGCATCAGCCCTGGACTTGTAGAAACTAGTATCATAATGTCACCTCCCATTGTCCCCTTCAATTAGGTCCTACTCAACAGCCAGGAGAATCCCGAGGAGATGTGAGTCAGCCCAGGACACTGTTCATTTAGAATCCGCCCACGGCTCCATCTTGATGCAAGTAAAAGCCAGCATTCTCTCTGTGGTTTGTGATCTGACCTTTTCCCTTCTCTGACCCCACCTAGCATTCACTCTCCCTCTCAAATAGTATTTTGGTCACACTGATCTCTCTGCTGACGTGCTATTCCATCAACCCCAGGACCTTTGCACTTCCTGCCCGCACTGCCAGGGCATCCTTTCACGGAGTGGCTTCCTCCTCGCTGGCTTCTAATCTCTCCTGTGACTCGCCTCATTAGAGAGCCTCAGATACCAGCTGCCCATGTTTCCCTTCCATCACCTTTATCAAGGTGGGATAAATTCTGTTTGCCTTTCACTGTCTGGCACAGAAACTATGCCCCCAAGGGAGCAGGGACTCCACAAGGGTCACACTGTATCTCCAGTGCCTAGGACAGAGCCTGACTTGAGACAAATAAGTGCCTGTGTACGTAATGAAGTCATATTCCGACTCTGTCCTGTTGTCTTGTGTATATAGATCGACAGTCACGTGTCACTTAACAATGGGCATCCGTTCAGATAAAGGCGTTGCTAGGCAATTGTGCCCTCCTGTGAGCATCACAAAATAGCTTGCTCCACGAATGAAACCACGCACAGGACATCATCAGGTAAAAACGATCTTATGGGTCACTGTTGCACGGGGGGGGGGGGGGGGGGTGTCTTGCTGTGTGATGTACCACTCTATCTCACTGCCCCTTAAATAAAATGCAGAGAAACTGCTAGTTAGCTATGCACATCGCTCCATAGACTTTATAATGATAATTACTAGTGTTGGTGGCACACGCCCTTAATCCCAGCACTCAGAAGGCAGAGGCAGGTGGATCTCTGTGAGTTCGAGACCAGCCTGGTCTCCAGAGCGAGTTCCAGGACAGCCTCCAAAGCTACACAGAGAAACCCTGTCTCGAAA